ATGCAGGTCGTACGACAAATCGCAACTGATTAATTCTTCGACTTCGACGAAAGAGTATTTATATGTTACTTCATATCTCACTTGAGTCACTTATGCAATAAAAAATACCAGAAATGTATGTAATTGCTCAGATTACACACTAAATATAAGGAAACGTCATTTAGACAGATAACTTTGTTTCGACACGTGGAAATTGTAAACGTTTAATTTGTCACGAAATTGTAAACGTTTAATTTGTCATGAAAAACAATAAAACAATATTTCTGCATATGCAGAAATGATATCGTTTTGTCACGGAAAACAATATTCAATCGCTATTTGTAAATATATAACTAGTTTTATGACATTAGAGTTCAAGTGTGATTTAATAAATAAATTATTTAGTAAGGAACACATTCAGCGATTCCAAAATACTCAGAAACTAACAATAAGTAATTTACTTATTACTGTATGTGTAAATATATAACTAGTTTTATGACATTAGGGTTCAAGTGTGATTTAATAAATAAATTATTTAGTAAGGAACACATTCAGCGATTCCAAAATACTCAGAAACTAACAATAAGTAATAAGTAAATTACAACTAACAATAAGTAATAAGTAAATGTGTTCCTTACTAAATAATTTATTTATTAAAGCACACTTGAACCCTAATATCATAAAACTAGTTATATATTTACACATAGCGATTGAATATTGTTTTCCGTGACAAAACGATATCATTTCCACATATGCGGAAATATTGTTTTATTGTTTTTCATGACAAATTAAACGTTTACAATTTCGTGACAAATTAAACGTTTACAATTTCGTGACAAATTAAACGTTTACAATTTCCACGTGTCGAAACAAAGTTATCTGTCTAAATATAAAACTATTACTTCGTTTTTGATCATCAGTTACATTGCGCCATTTTGAATTTAATTTGTAAACGCAGCACAGTTTGTAGAATTAGAATATGTACGTAAAATTCACACAGAAATATTAGTAAGCACCAAGATTCTGCTATGACCATACGTTGGTCTTCTCTCAATTTAATTGTGTTAAAACACATATACAATGTATATACATATAGTTTGTAAATTTTGACCTTAGATTAAGATTCAGCAAAGTTGAGTAAGTTAATATTTTTTTAAACTAAGTTAAGTTAAAGTTAACAGTCTTAAAAATTTAACTTACAATTAGTTCAGTTAAGATCCAAATTAGTCTATAATAAAACTGGTTATATTAAAAGTTAAGTTAATAAAAATAGTAATTGAAATATTAAAAGTTAAATTTTATCATTTCATAATTTAAAAATTTCTAAATAAAGTGTATATTTGTAATACTTATTTCTGTCAAGCTGCGGAAAAAGGATTCATTTCGAAGGATTTCTTCCAACATGATTTAATGCATAAAAGGTCCGCGAACAGTGATTTCTTCCCACGGCTAAACTATATTTATTATATTATAACAAATGTCTTGATGTGCGTTCTCAAATTTAAGTTTGAAGACACCAACACAAATATGCATTATATTTTGGGTATACAGAAAAGCACTAAAAGTGTAAATTCAAGAAATTTAGGTCAAAAGTTAATAGTTACCGATAAAATGTAATAATAATTTAAGTTTAAAGTTGAGAGTCTAAAATGTAAGTAACAAGGAAATCTCGCGAAGTGTTAAATTCTGATTTTAATGAAAATTTGTAAACTTATAGATTACGTAAACACATGAATTTAAAAAATTAATTGGTACTAGAACACGGTTTGAAGGGATGAAATCATTCCTCATATGTAAAGCAGTTTTTAGTTCTTTTCGTTATATAATATCTCGGAAATTATTAAAGATCGATATCAAAAAATGTTTTACATTTTATGTATAACATTAATTCCACAAGAAATGATACTAATGATAGCGTTTATACGTATACATAAAAAATCACCTTTGATACTCAATGTTATAAAACTATTTATAAATTCATACATATCGATTGAATATAATTGTTTTATTGTTTTTCGTGACAAAACGATATCTTTTCCAAGTGCAAAAATATTGTTTTATTGCTTTTCGTGACAAATTAAACGTTACTGCTTTCACGTGTGGAAACAAAGTTATATGTTTAAATAATGTTTCCTTATATTTAACGGGTAATTTAAGCAATTTCTGGTATTTTTTATTGCACAAGTGAGCTATAAAGTAACATATAAATACTCTTTAGCCGAAGTCGAAGAATTAATCAGTTGCGATTCGTCATACGACTTGCATAATCGATTTTACTTCCCAAGAAGAACGGTAAGTTCTAACATACAATTTTTTAAAATAGTAGCTGAGAATACAAATTAATAGATAATGAACTATGTATATAAGATTATCTATTGCTATTATATTAATAGTAAAATATTTCCTGTTTTATTATTTAACTTAATAATTAAAATGTGAACTATAAGCCTGAGTCAGTTATTTAATGCTCTAATATAATGAATTAGTACAATAAAATAATATAATAAAAACAGACGTTTTGACATACATTAGGTCATTCTCAATGTTAAACGATAAAATTAAAACAAGAAAAAAAATTTTTATCATAAAACGGCGAAAATAAAAATTCCGTCCATTATTAAAACCGTTTGCAAAATAAAATGTCGTAACAATAATAAAATCGAAAATTCAAACACAAATCCTCAAATTATCACATTGAACATTCGTCGAGAAGTAAACAATAGAAACGTACGGTCCTCCCAGATTTGAAGCAGAGACAAGATCAAAAATTGTCATTGTAAAAGTCAGTAACACTGTGGAAGCTTGAGTAGCTGAATTCAGGAGTCCATAAATCGTTCACAATTTAGAATAATTAACAGTATAAAAGACAGTGACAGTTTAGCATTATGTATCGAAAGTCAAAGCCAAGTCTTAAAGCCAAGTTAAAGAAAGTCAAGTCTTAAGTTATGAAAGTCAAATAGTAGGTATGTCTCTGCTTCAAATCTGAAAGGATCGTACGTTTCTATTTTATACTTCTTGACGACTGTCCACTGCGATAATATGAGAATTTGCATTTGAATTTTCAATTTCGGTTTTGTTATGACATTTTATTTTGCGAAAAGTTTTAATAATGAACATATCTTTATTTTCACCGTTTTATGTTTAAACAAATTTTTTTCTTGTTTTAATTTTATCGTTTAACACTGAGAATGATTTGATGTAGGACAAAACGTCTGTTTTTATTATACATTATACTAGAGCATTAAATAACCAGCTCTAGCTCATAGCCCACATTTTAATTACTATTTTGTCATATATTGAGCCTTTTTTATTTTATTTTATTTTAACTTATTTTATATTTAAACTTCATTATTTAAGTTTCGTCATTTAAAAGATAAATTCACGTAAATTAAAATGGCAATTTCTATACAAGTATTATTATCATATTATTATAGGTATATTGCATGAACATATCGAATAGTAGATATAAACAATAAATAAATACATTATATAAAAATACAAATAAATAAATTATATCAAATATAGTGAAATAATTGCCTATAGGCGATTCGGATGTTGGTGTGTGAAATTTTTATTGTTACTGTATAGAGGCAGATTTGCGAATGAACTGTATGGATCCACGGATTCGCTAGTGACGTCGAAATTTACCGAATGGGAAAGATAGAGGAAAGGTGAAGTGGAGATGCTTTAGAGAGATGACTAGAAATGAGTTATTCGTACGAGAGTTTATTCGAGACTACTGGCCGAAATCGTTGACGATGTACATCAAAATGAGAAGTCGCCGTTGTAACTGTTGTAAGGATGAGAAGGGGAAATAATGCCGTATGTTTATTTTAGTTAGAGACGGCTGATCGGTAGCGAAAAACAAGAAGGAATGTCAAGGTCTGTACACCAGCACGAAATAAAACTCGAATACAACACATATTAAACGTTTAAATTGTAATAAGAAAATGTGAAATATGAAAATAACGATAATGATTTTAATTGACTGAAACTAAACAGTTACAATCACCCACGATCTGCGCGCCGCACGGTTTGTCGGTCATGAAACACAGTTCTTTTTCATGAAGCCGGGTTTGTAACTAATTAATTTCACGAAAAATTTAATATCTTTCGATGCTAATATGCATCTATAAGATTCCTCTCTCCCCAAATATGTAAAGAAATTTATTGCGATAAATAACATCTCAGCTCCCAGCCGAGAATTGAGGAAAGGGGAATTTATATTAATATCGAAAGATATTAAATTGTTTGTCAATTTAATTAGTTACAAGTTTCCAGCTTTGTGCAAAAGAGCTGTATTTCAAGACCGACAAACCGTGCGGCGCGCTGATCGTGTGTGGTTGGATATTGTAACAATAAGAATTTTACACACGAACAACCGTGTAGGCTCTCATAGGCAATTATTTCACTAAATTTTATTTATTCTTTGGAGTCTATTCCTTCTATTTAATTTCATTTAAATAAATTATATTAAAATAATAATTACAGAAAATATTACAGACAAGATGAAGAGAGAGACAAAATTCGTTATTTCCATTACTGTCGTTATGCTATGGCTATTTTGTTATGCTATGTGGATAAACCAGGATGCCGTTATCTGTTTGGAGGCGTAAGTATTTATACAATATATATTTTATGAAAGATAGTCGTTCTCCGCATTATAAAGACATACAAAGGAAACGATATTAGAGTCAAATTTTTAATTCAGATTTTGTTCTGTGCATAATCTATATAAACTTATCAAGACCATAAGAAAATGTTTTACATCTGTATCGATGCATCCGCAATATTATCCGCAAATTAATATTAATTTTGAATGTTGAATAACACAACTCTAAATATTACATTTTTAATCTTTTAGTGTTCCCAGGATGATAATTGCTGTCCTAAATTGGTTTGTCCATATGGATACTGTGCATGGGATGGCTCATTTGGAAAAAAGGAAACTAGATAACAGACCTCGTTATTCTGAATCATATCCATTTCTGGCACATCCTGGCAAATACCAGAATATGTAATGATATTAGAATGATAATATCGCTTAATATTCTTCTTTATATTTGACTGTGGCGCTATTTCTCTTTATATTTATATTTATAAAATAGATAAGAGATTTTTTTATTATAACTTTAAATAAATACATTCAAGAAACCATCAATATTGTCTGTCTTATTTATAAATAATTAATTTTATATACATATATATATAATACGTATATATCATTAAATATAAGTTATTTTAATTAAATTAACTCAATTATCCGCGAAGATATAAAAAAAATTTTTCAGATGAAAGAGGAAAAAAAACGCAAAATTGCATATTTCCTTTAAAAGCAACTAAGGTAAATTCAGATATTATGGCCATACGGAAAAGATGGCCATGTGCTGTAATTTATAATTGTTAAGTAATGCATATTTTTAGACTAATAATTGTTAAGTAATGCATATTTTTAGTCGTTCTCTAAGATAATCAATATTCACAGTAATTTATGTGCGTACACTACTCAAAATAACAATGATCTGAATATTATATAATGCTTTTACTTTTAATTGCCAGCACAGTTTTACACGTGTCTAAAAGCTGTTATTATATTATAACTTCAAATCAATTATAGTTAAGCTACCGTAATCAACATTATACATACACAGTAAAAGGTCTATAAATTGTAACCTATAATTTGTATTTTCATTTTGACTACTTATTTATAAATACTATGGCAGTTTCCCTTACAGTTTGGATAAGATGGACCACTTTTTTTATATTAAGTTGGCCAACAAGCTGTGTTCGAAAGCACCTGAGTGTCCTCATGTCATCATTTTATCCTTATTCATTGAATGTTAAATAAAAATAAAACGATAGAAGGCGCACGTTCGGTTTACAGTCGCAACATTGTTAAGATATAAATCATCACTTAATTATTATAAACTGACTGCTTGTTCTAAATTGGCTTTGTAATTGTGGATAACGTGCAATAAAAGTAAATATTAAGATTTTTCATTTTGATTTTGTTAGAATTTCAGTAAGTATCGCAATATTTATTTTGTAAGTATTACCAGGTTAGACTTGTTAAAATTTTGTCGTAATTGCCTGATATCGCGTTGCTTTCTATAGAAACAATTAATTTTACAATATCGGTAGGTAGCTTTTATAGAAAAATGGCAAAATATACTGCTTTCTGCCTGCAAGCGATTCATATGAATCGTTAAAAATAAAGTTAAAAAGTGAGCTCACAAAACCTGTCTTATTTATTAACAATAAAATATAGTTAATATTCGTATGCATGGTAATAATTGTTTCATTAGTTTTGTCATTTAAAAGGAACTGGTTTTTTTTCCAAGGATTTTTTCGATTTCTATCCCAAAAATAGAAAAATTTAATAGAAAATTTCACGTACATGTTCATAAAAACTAACACATTTTATCACATTTGCAACATGGAGAACAGGAATACTTCCGTATATTCCTCCTAATATGATGGTTAAATTACGATTGCGTTTCGAGAATAACAATAAAATTAGTAATAAAAATTTTTAATGTAATAATGTTTTTTTCATGGTTACATAAGTAGCCATCTAAAATAGTTTTTTTTTTGTCTAAGTGTTTTTTATTTTTAAGTTCCTCGGCAAATCCTTTGACATTTTATTTTATCTAGAACGAACAGAATTTTCTTACAGTACTGTAATAATTTTGAAATATTTGTTGCGGACAAAGCACGTGCAAAATGATTTCACAAAAAAAATATATATATGTATGTAAAATATGTTTGTAAATATGTTTAATTAATATATAATATTTTATAAATTGAAGAAAATAGATCCGTAAGAATAAATTGTAGATTACCTATATTGTAATTCAAAAGTTATTTTTGCTTGGAGCATTGAACATCTTGCTTTGGGTCGCAGCCCTTTACCTCTTATTAATTTAATAAATTGTAGGTAATAAATAGAGTAATACTTAAGTAATAAACACGTGATAGGAGGGTAATACCTGGAATGAATACAGACAATATATTATAAATGGGAACTCGCTGTAATCTTTCAAAAGAGAAATGATTGGCCCGGTAGTCGAAAATCAAAGCAAGGAAAACGAGTCAGTCAGTCCGGCGATGTCTCAGTTATGTCTTGAGAATATAATTAGAGAAATTTACGATTACTAAACAAGCATTGCATGAGTTTTCTTTCCACTCATTTCCTACAAAGTCAGATATACTTAAATATTGCCTATCTAATCGACGCGAGTTGATCGATATTAATTTTTATTATTACAATATCCAACCACACACAAACTGCGCGCTGCAATATTTGTTGGTTTTTAAACACAGTTCTTACATGAAGCCGGAATCCTTTTTAATAATTAAACATTTGATAATGTATATAAGAGTTCTTTAATATTACTATATTTAAATTGTATACTGTTATATGTATGTAAGATTATTTATTTATATATTAATACAATTAAGTATGATATAATAGTTATCACTCACGTTCATGATAGTAATAATATCTTTAAGTTGAGTGCATTTATTTTGTACATGTACTATCTCATTTATTAATGGAACAGTATTTAAGAAATGCATTTTATTTTATTGGAATTTGATTAATTCTTTGTGTCACGAATTTTTGTATCAGACCATTCTTTTGAAACTTTGTACTTGAGGATTTTTCGTATCGCTGATCACGAATTAAAAATAATTTTAAAATTCTAAATGACCGATCCAGTACGGGTGACAAATAATTCGAGTAATTTTGATTAAATCATTGAACATTTTATTATTTGTGTAAAAATAAATTATTTAGTGAGGAACAGATTCAGCGATTCCAAAAGATCTAGAAATTAACATTAAGTATAATATGACTATTATTTCGTTTTTAATACATCAAACCAGTTGCGCCATTTTGAATTTAATTTGTAAACGCAGCGCAGTTTGTGGAACTAGAATATATGTACGTAAAATTCACGCAGAAATATTAGTAAGCACCAAGATCCTGCTATGATCGTTCGTTGGTTTTCTCTCAATTTAATTTTTTAACACACATATACAATGTATATACATACACAGTACGGTCCATAAGTTCCCGGACTGATTTTTTTGCAGCCTTCTCATTGATGCCATTTATCGAACTGTTGAACTACGTAGTGTGAACCCTCCTTCTCGTCCATCTTCCGAGTCTGACACACATACACAACACCAGGTTATATCAAACGTCCGTACTCTTCAACAACTGAGCTGCGTTCAGCAATTCACGGTATATCATGTTATCCTTGTTATTCACCAAATATTAAACAATGATAAAATGATATCTAGATGCACCTACACGAAGTTTCTGAACGTAGCCCTGCGGCTAAAATAATGCCACTTAACACGGCTGTTCGAAAGAGTTCACACTACGTAATTCAACAGTCGAATCGATAAATAGCGTCAATGGGAAGGCTGCAAAAAAATCAGTCCGGGGACTTATGGACCGCACTGTATACATATATAGTTAATTTGTAAATTTTGATCTCAGATTAGGATTCAGCAAAGGTTGGGTAAGTTAATATTTTTTTTAACTAAGTTAAGTTAAAGTTAACAGTCTCAAAAATTTAACTTACAATTAGTTCAGTTAAGATACAAATTAGTCCATAATAAAACTGGTTAAAGATCGGAAGAGC